TCAAGATAATATCGTGTCCCTCCACTTAGCTGGTGTGACAGCCTCCCCCAGCGCTGCTGTGCATTGGCATGAGGAGCTGCACCGGTATCGGGTTTCCCTACAGTCTTCTACCTGCAATAAAAAAGTCCCTAATTCATATCCTTTTTATTAAAAATAAATATTCGAAGGCCCTGGAATGCAGAAGTCAGGATTCTGACTTTCCACCACAATATCTAATTTTGCACTCTGGAGAGCAGAAATACCTCTTGGGTTGCTCTGGTGTGTGTGTATATTTGAAATAAACAAAAACACCCTTCTACATAGGTCTTTTTTTCTTCTCTCAAATATTTTGCTACTAGATACTGTATATTTGGGGGTGAGGTGTGATGGCCACTTCCTTGCCTTGCCCCTCTCTGCCCCCACGTGCACAGACACACACACTTTTTCTAGGAAAGCTCTTCTGTGCTTCCAAGAAGAGAGCATGTCCCTGAGGACACAGGCATACCCATTTTGCCCTCACTTGCTCGTTAGCACTTGCTGCTTATGGCTGTTGTGCATTTCCGAAACGCTGCTCAAATATTGATCAGGATGGTGTGGAGTCAGTCTGTGCTGTATAGCAGGGGCAATGTTGTTGGGAATGGCTGGAGAGCTGGGGACACAGCTGAAAGGGTAGGGAGCGGAGAAGGTGGCCAGAGCAGTGCTCCCTGCCACTAGCTACCCCTTAGCTCCTTGACCTGGTGTAACGTATCCCGATCTCCTGGGTGCTTTAACTGATAGTGGTCACTTGGAAGGAGCTGGCACCGCGCGCGGTACGAGGTCAGCCAGGAGATAAATATGCAGGGGGAGGGTTGATAAGAGTTCTGGATATTCTGCTTGATCAAAGCTGCCCTCGCCTCATCAGCGGGAGTTCAGTCTTGCTTCCCTTAGGATTCAGGCACCTTCTGTGTGCAGCAAGCAGTTAGCCCTGCCACTGAGCCCCCGGCAGGACGGGCACTGCACCAGTGCGTGGCTGCTCCAGATTTTCCGCTAGCAAGTCACGAGACTGGCCCGTTGAGCAGTGAGGGGGCACGCGGTCACAGGAACGCCCTGAAGAAAAAGTGGATGTGAAAGAGCAAGGAGCTGGACAAGACTCTGCTTGTGTTTGACTACAAAACTGAACAGCAAGTGCCTGTCCTGACAGGATGCCCACGGAAACGGTCTTTCATTCCCTGGGGAGCCAGGCGCTGGAGAGACAGTAAGCGAGTGTGTGACACAGAGACCTCTCCAAGTGTTTGCATCCATAGCTCTGAAGGGAAGCTGCCTGGAGCATCTGTTTTACTTTAAATGGTAATAGGGCTAGGGGAGGAGCCGGGATAGTAGCTCAGCTGGCGGCTGTGTGTAGTGGAGGCAGCCTAGAGCAGAGCACGGTTATCAGCCCTTGCTCTGATTTGCTCCAGGAAAGTGATATTAAACCCGAGTTAAGCTTATCAGCTGTTTGAAACTAGGAAGGCTTATTTCTTAATGGATCAACTGAGGGAAAATTATGCAAATCAAAGTGTGCCTTATCTAGTGCAATTAAGACTTCTTAATAATGGCCGAACCACCCCCTACCAAAGTCATCTTTGTTCCAGCTTTTATTAGTAGGGAGGAGTGAGAATATATTGCATTTGCCAAAGAAGTGTAATGGAATAGCAGGGTGTTGGACAAGCCTTGTGTACCTGTGGGCTTTGTCCCCACAGTCTGGTGCTTCCTGACATGTCAAAAAAAAGCACAGGATAACACATTTGGAAACCCCAGAGCCCTTCGAAGAGCAGCTGGAGCTGCTGGTTGCTCTACGGGAAAGCTGTGTCCAGTCTGATCCTGCATGTGTTTGATGACTATTACTAGAGATGTGTAAGTTAATATCCAGGGCACAGAGTTGTGGGAGGTGACACTTCGTAGTTGACATAGCTCCAAAACACACAGACACACACAGGGCTCCTCAGTCACACACCAGTCATATTTGCAAGGCCAGTTCTGCTCCTGAGCCTTCAAGAAGCAGAGGAGCTCTTGGTCCTGGTGCTGAGGAAACGTAAAGCACATGGATGGTCACATTTCATCCCGATGATGGAAATCCTTGCAAGTTTTCAGCTCCCCTCCACATGAGGGGGGCTGTCCTGGAGAAGCTTTGGGCTGTGATGCAGCAGCCTTGTGGAATCCCAATAAGCAGCGCTTGTGGTGAGAGGTTGCATTCCCTCAGCAGAAGGGAAGCAGCGCTGCCTTTGCTCCTGAGCATCTGCTCGAGTGATGCAGTCAGTTTTGGTTTTGATTAGTGTGGGAGGTTAAGCAGCGTTTGTGAAAGGCGGGGAGAAAGCTCCAGAGAGGGTATTTCTGTCTGTCGCTAAAATTGCGCGCGCTCTGTGCAAAGCAGCACATCGCATCCCAGTGAGTGATAGTCACTGCCGTGACTCATCGGGCCAAGATATTTACTCAAGTTTGACTCATGAGAGCGCTGGCCGCTAGTTTCCTCTGCCTGCCCTGTTCATAGCGACCTAAATATTCGAGCAGCCCGGGCCTCCGGAGCCTGCCTGACTTAACTGGGCTTTCTACTGGCCGTGGCTTGTGAGGGCAGGCGACACCAGAGACAGGGGCTGCGAGATTGTCCCACCGCCTGCCTCGACCCGCCCCATTTCCTCACTGCTCTTGGGACGCGGCTGAAGTGCCAGTCGGAATTGGCTCCATCAGCGCGGGGCGGAAAAGCACCAGGAAAGACAATAGGGCTTTGGGGAAGGGGCCGTGCATTGAGCGTCTTGCAGCTGTACGTCGGAACGCTCTGCTCCCACCAATGGCAGTAAAAACAAAACAAAAAGCTGCCTTCTGTGGCTTTTCCTGTCACAGTTTTGATGAGTCAAGAGCTCCTCGGCTAAGTGGAGTAGCAGAGGGGGCATTGCTGAGGACACAGACCTTCCTTTGTGCTCAGGCCCTGTGACGAGCTCTCCGGGAGAGGTAGGGCAGAAGCACCGAGTGTTCCAGGAAAAGGAGGGGAGGGCAGGGACGCCCTAGAGCCCCCGGGGCCTGGGGTGAGCGCAGAGGATCCTCCCGCCAGGACAGAGGCAGGGACAGGGGCCCTGCGTCAAATTCAGGCTTGAAGGAGAGGGCAGGAAGTTTCCATTGTGAATGAAACAACCCCATAGCAAGAGCTGAAGCTGGTGCCATTGTCTTCACCTTTGGCGGGGGGTGGAAAGGAAATGTGCTCTTTTTCCTCTTGAACTTGCCAAGGTTTTTTGGAAAAAGGATATGAAAATGAAGATGATAGAGTGCTAATCTATCTACCTAGCTTCATCCCCTTCACTAGAAGCCACTTAACATTTACACTTTACATTTTGAGAAGTAATTCATTTAAAATTTCATTTTAAGCGTTGCATGTTTTGTGAGGGACTGTCTGGGCTTGGCAGCTACTGAAGGTCTAAGGGACAGTTATTTGAATCTGAGGCTGAAGCCAAAAGGCTTCCCAGTGACTGTGAGTTGCCCTGTGGCAAATTCCTGTGATGCTGGAATGTGTGGATTGCGCTGTCTTAATTTCTGAGGTTTCACTTCTTTATTTTTGTTTATTATTTTTTGACAAAATAATGAAATAGGAATTTTGGTGCAGCAAAGAGAATGTCAAGAATGCTTGCAGTGTGTAGTCCTGTGCTTTCTGGAGGAAAAGAGGCAGATATCTAGGATCTACATTTATTTAGGAAAAAAGTTTCCATTGCCCAGCTCTGTGGCAGCATGCAGGGGTATGAGGAATGCAGAGTCTGCCTCCTGTTACGTGATGAGACTCCTCTGTCTGTGGAATGTATGGATATAGTTGCAATGTGCTGTGTGTGGAGCTTATGGAAGAAAATCCTTGTCTAGATGTGACTGACAGTTTTCTTAGAAGTTGTGCTTATTCATTTTGTGCAATTTTACATTTCTTTTGGGTTTCTGTTTCAGTAAATAACAACCACAAGAAAACATCTTCCCGTGTTTTGTCATTCAACAGGACAATTGTAGGATTATAGCGGTCGTTTGTGTCCTGATTGCTCTAGGGAGTGGGATTGGTGATTGGAGGCGCTGGCACAAACAGCAAGGCGGTGCCTCAGGACCCTCCTCTGAACCCTGCTCCTGGCCTGGGCTGCTAACTGCTGTTTCATCTCAAAACACTCGACACTTCTCATTGGGTGAAAGTGCCGGGGCATAAAACTTGGCAGGGACCTCGGGGCATAAAACTTGGCAGGGACCTCTATGTCTTCTGCAGAAGAAAAGGGAGGAAAAAATCTATTCTTGGAAGCTTGGGGGAGTCTGGAGATCTGTAGATGATTTAAATGAAAAACTGCATTGCAATGCCATGCTGGGGCCCAACTTCGGTACCTTATAGAGAGGATCTACACTCCTTTTGTTTAGGATTGTACTTAGGACTTACTATAAGATAAAAATTTCATGCAGAAATAATTTCAGTTGAAGAAAATCAGCTCCATCTGAATAAACATTCCATCTGGAATGCCGATTTGGGAATGAATGTGTGGAACCTGCTCCTAATTTCACTAAAGTCAGAGGCAAAGTGTGTAGCAGGGGGGTTGGTGGGATTTGTTTTATTTCTCCTCTCTTTGATAGGATCCTCCTCTCCTGAAAGAAGAGTTAATGCCTTGGAAGGAAAGAAGGTCCCTTTGCACCTATGCATTTGTTTCTTCTGATATTCTACTTTGAGCTTGAACTGGGGCTCACGTGTGAAAGTTGATTGAAGAATATATAATTTAATTTCCTCCTCTCTGATATTGTACATTGCCTGGCTGTAATATGTGCATCATGGGTGCTGCTGAACAGAGTTGTCTGTTTACTAGCTTTTTTTTTTTTTTTTTTAATTTAAGTGACATAATTTTATTTAAACCGTAATCATTTTGCCTGGCCTGCACAATACACAGTTATGTATACAATTGACATTTATGTCTCATACGCCCAGTTGACATTTACTGCTGCAGAGGTGGACTGTAGGTGTTTCTTATATATTATGTTTTTTCTTTTTTTTTTTTTAAAAAAAGGCTGGAAGAGACAAGTATGAGCCTACTGCTACATCAGAGCATGGCACGAAGAAGAAAAAGAAGGAGAGGGACATGGATGAGTTGAAAAAGGAAGTTTCAATGGTAAGAGCCTGAGGCAGGGAAAAGGAGCAGTTTTAAGACTGTTCCCATCCTTTAAAGCCCTGTGCATCACAACATTTGGAGGGAAGAGCTGCTGAGGTGACAGCATGGTGGCTTGCAAGGCAGTGGCCTTGCTTCTGATACCCTGTGTTTCCCAGCCAGACATCCTGCAAGTATTTTAGCATCACGATGAGCGCGCAGGAGGCCCTGAAAACACCACTTCTTGAAAGGCACTTGACATAAAACTCAAGCAGCCGATTGCCTGTGTTACACATAGCAAAGTGTCGATGCATTTCCACGCCAGGGCTGTCCAGATAGCAGCAGTCCAGGCTTGATTGTGCTGCTGTGTGGATGAGGCTGCTGTTCTCACTCCCTGTACAGCTCCATTTGCTGTTAGCCTCTCCTCAGGGAGAGCTCAGTAGCAGTTGTATTCCTTCTAAGCACATAAGATGCTGTGAAGAGATGTCCCTCCCTGTCTGAAGAGTGGGATGATGCTGTACATCCATGTGAGAGCAGTATCCAGCTTAGATCAGCTCTCCTTGAAGATGATAAGCTCTTGTTGCTGCTGCTGAGGATTTTGAGCTGCGTTCTCACTTTTTTCACTTGCTGGGGAGGGGGAAAATTGCAACTTGCTCCAAGGTCAGGTTTTCTGTTTATTAGCAACACTAGCTTAAAGTGTCTGCTCCCTCCAGCCCAAATGTTTATGCAGGGCGATGCTCTGCACCAATAGGAAGCCTGTTTGTGCTGAAAAATAACCTGGCTATAAAAAGGAGCCTCTTTAGGGGGAGAAACACTGCTTAAGCTGGTGGTGTTACTGGAAGCATGTCTGAAATTGCAGGGCTAAGCCTCTGTACACTCCTGCGTTCTTTCCTGGCGCCTCCCTCCCTGAAAATCCCGGAATCTGTGTGGGGGGAAGACTGCACGGAGCTGTAGTTGGGGGTTGTGAGAAAGCTGTTGTCTCCAAATAGCCGTAAGAATAGTGATAATAAGTCTGCCTTGAGTTGCTGAGATAGAGATTCTCTTTGGAGAGAAGATAAGCTAGAGTCTGGTTATCTCATGGAGCTGTTACTGATGGGGGGAGTGGGTGGGAAAGGGAGACAAATCACTGGGCTCTTGATGACCTATTCACAGAGACTGTTACCTTCTACCCAGTGTTATTCTTTTTTACTTTTCAGGATGACCACAAGCTGAGCCTTGATGAACTTCACCGTAAATATGGAACAGACTTGAGTCGGGTAGGTAGACTTGATTTTCCCTTCTGCTTTGTCCTGGTCTGAAAAGGGACCAGCTTCAGCTTAGTGTTTTATGAAGGGGAGAGCTGGGTGGTCTTTTATTTTTTTTTGAATCTCAACTTCTCCAGTTAAGTTTCCCAGGCTGTGGGAAAATAGATGAGCTCACAAATACTTCTGTCTCTTTCCACTATGTAGCCTGGCTGTTAAACTTCCATGACTTTGTTGGAAACAAAGTCACTGTTATCTGCATCTGGGTTGTTCCAAGGTCAAGTTGATTCTTAGATTTTCCTCCCCACCCCCCACCCTTGAAGCTTTTAATAAAGGCAAACATTTGTCTCCTGTTGCAAAGAGTCTAGTGTGCTAGCACGTGTCCAGAGACAAAATGGCAGTTAAAATTTTATTCCTTTTCTAAAAAAAAGCAAACAGATGCTTTAGCTAGCCTTGAAATCCAGTACAGCAGCACTGTATCGTGCCTGTGCTCACTTGCTTTATATTTGTTTATTTATTTTTAACCTGTTTACATATGGCAGCAGCAAGTGTGTTCTTACTCTCTAGCAGCGTAGAGACCTGCATCCTTCTGTCAAAGACTATGGCTTCTAAAAGCTCAACTTCATAGCAAGCCAACTGTCATCTTCATGGCCCCCGGCTTTCACTTGTCCTATAGTTTGGACTGAGCTTCTCAGAGCTTGGAAGTCTGCTGCTGTAGCCAACTCATCTTGCCTTTCCTCAGTGTTTGTAGTCCCAGGGGCTGCAGACCGCTCCACATCTGCTAGCTCCTCTTTTAGAATCAAGCTTTTGCATTTTGTAATTGTGCTGCAGAGCCCTGGCCACTGTGCAGACTTCCATTCCCTATTACAATCTCCCTGTTGCTGTGACAGGACTCTTGCATTTTTGAGCTGAAGATGCAAAACTTCAACTACTTTCGAAGTTCGCAACTACCTTCTCTGGTCAGTGCAATGTCAGCGTCAGTACAATGTCCCTGAAGGGAACCTCTCTTTTCACCTCCCTCCTAGGGTTTGACAACTGCACGTGCAGCTGAGATTTTGGCCCGTGACGGCCCGAACGCCCTCACCCCACCACCAACCACTCCGGAATGGGTCAAGTTCTGTCGGCAGCTCTTTGGGGGATTCTCACTCCTGCTGTGGATTGGTGCTGTTCTGTGCTTTCTGGCTTACGGCATACAAAGTGCAACGGGAGAGGAGGCCAATAATGATAATGTAAGTAAAAACGTCTGCCTTACCTCAAAGGCAGGCTCAGCAGCCCATTTTTGGCTCCTAGAAGATTGACTTCCTCCAAGCGTTCAGTCCAGAAGCTTTTCCCATAAGCACGGGAAATTTTGTGGGTGAGCTTAACATGTCTTGGAGAGCTTCCATGTAATGAAAGAAACAGCTGACTTCCTTCATACGTTGTGTTGACGGCACTAGCTTGTGGGCAGCCTTTGTGTACAAAATGTACAGAGTTTGCAAGTACTTTCACACTTTGTATTGGGGCACTTAATCACTAAGCAACTGATCTAGAGAAACTCCAGGCCTTTCAGACAGATCGTGTTCTCAGTCTCTCTCTTCTGTTCTTTGTAGCTGTACCTCGGCATTGTGTTGTCAGCTGTGGTTATAGTCACTGGCTGTTTCTCTTACTACCAAGAAGCAAAAAGTTCCAAAATCATGGAGTCCTTCAAGAACATGGTGCCTCAGGTATGAAACAACTCATTTGCTTGTCCTGCTGAGCTGTAGCTCAGCACTTGGGGCTTTTACCTGGTTTAAGCATGAGTTTCAATTGAAAAAGGCCTGCCTTGATGGCAAAGGTATGTGTTGGTCTTTAGCAGACAATATTCTCTTGTGCCGTGATGCCAGTGTGGGTAGCTTGCTCTTAATGTTGAGCATTAACAACTCCAATTACGCTTCCAGTGGCCGTGCTGCTAGCCCAGGGCAGTTCTGCAGGTTTATTAACAGTTGTAGACCCCTCCCTGGATAGTCTGTAGAGTAATTTGTGTGATCAGTAATCCTTAAAGCCCAAATTTCTTCCTAAAGAGGGCCAGTATCACACTTAACCATCTTACTTGCATCCTGGCAACCAGGAACTGTAGTGTCAAAACCCAGCTATTTTTCCTAAATCACATACCTATCTGAGGTGGAAGTAGAAACTCTCTAGAACCCTATAGCTGTTATTTTAAGGGATTCAGAGGTTTCATGCACCTTCCTAGGAGTTTGATTTTGACGTAGGTTCTTTCTACTATCTTTTCAGCAAGCTCTTGTAGTCAGAAATGGCGAGAAGATGAGTATAAATGCTGAAGGTGTTGTAGTTGGAGATCTGGTGGAGGTGAAAGGAGGAGACAGAATTCCAGCTGACCTTCGGATCATATCTGCTCATGGTTGCAAGGTACGGTGGTGACCATACCTCTGAAAACCTTGTGCCATAATGGAGGGTGATAAATCAGTCTGGTTTCAAAGAATGTCTTCTATGCTGTCAGTGAGTTGTGAAAGAGAAAGGTGGGCAGTGTGTAGTGTTAACCTTGATCCCTGAAGCATCTGCCTGCTTGTGTGTGAAGCAGTAATCTCTTCCGTGCAGGTAGACAACTCCTCTCTCACTGGGGAATCCGAGCCTCAGACCAGGTCTCCAGACTTCACCAATGAGAACCCTCTGGAGACCAGGAACATTGCCTTCTTTTCCACCAACTGTGTGGAAGGTATGTGATTATCCTAGTCTTGTGAAGTATTAACAGTGCTAGGGAATGAACAGCTTAGGTAAGCACTACGAGTGCTCTTCATGCTTAGTGCAGCATTTGGGAGCCCAGTCCTGTGGTACAAGAGCAGGTACACATTCCCAACAAAGACTTTGTCCATTCCAACTACAATGCTTGTGCAATGGGCAGAGAAGACTGTAACACTAACTGGTTTCTAGCTCTTTTCAGAGGATATGTAACTTTTACAACTCATGCTGGGGAGAGTGCGGTAAATGAGGTATATATTGGCAGCTACGTGGTGGATCTTCAAACCTGATTGTCTAAATACAACAGTGTTAAAGGACGGACACCAAGAATGAAACAAAGTCATGGGGCAGAGCTATTGAGAGTAACAAAGCTCCTGCAGAAGGCAAGAACTCCAGAACATCTCAGGCAGAACTTTCTGTAGCAGCTCGGAGTGTGGTGGAAGGCACTGCTTGTGCCAAAGCCCATGGAATCTGATCCACATGCACAAAGGCATCAAGCTGTGACTAGCCAGTGATGGTGTGAAAGTTGATTCCTTACATTACCAACTTCTCTCTTAACAGCAAACTGACCCCCAAATTAACACATCTGTAGTACTTGAAACTTTTCCTACTCTTCTTTCCCCTCTCCTTCTTTCGACCTCTCCCAACCTTGCAATAATGAGGCATATTCTTGATCCTCCTCAAGAGTCGTGGACAGGAAAAAAATGGGCCTCCTATTAAAGAAGGGAAGAGGGCACTGCCTGTTTCTTGGAGTGGCTTCCTCTAGCTTTCTGTGCAGTTGACACTTGAACCAAGTGGATTCGCGGTTCCCTAGGAGAGGGCATACAACATAGTTATGCAGGATTCCTGTGCTATCCTTTTAAGCAAAAGGAGCTGGAGCTAAAAAGTAAAGAAAAGCTATGCTGGCCTAGTCAAACAGCTTCCTCCAGTATTTTGGACGAGGCTTGCTGAACTCCAGGATGGGCTGAAGGAGCCCTAGTGCATCTGGTTTTAGTTTGTACCCAGTAGGTTTTAAGCCAGGTTTTTGGTTTCTAAAGCGTGTCTCTCTTGCAGGCACTGCCCGTGGCATTGTCATTAGCACTGGGGACCGCACTGTGATGGGCCGTATAGCGTGCCTGGCTTCTGGACTGGAAGGGGGCAAGACTCCCATTGCCATGGAGATTGAGCACTTTATCCACATCATCACGGGGGTAGCTGTCTTCCTGGGCATCAGCTTCTCCATCCTCTCACTCATCCTTGAGTACACTTGGCTGGAGGCTGTAATCTTCCTCATCGGCATCATCGTTGCCAACGTGCCCGAGGGACTGCTTGCAACTGTCACGGTGAGCGAAGCTGGGAGAGAAGGTGGCATGGGTGTTGTGTGTGGTTCTTCAAGAAACATTGCTCCGTGCTTGGTGTGTTCTCAGCAGTAAACCTTACACACAGTGCTGAATGCCTAAGGCCAGGTCTTGTAAACTTGCTTAAGTCAATAAGGTACCAAGGCCATGCGGATGACAGGTTTTGTAGCTGTTTCATTTAGGTGTGTCCCTAAGTTGCGGATCTGCACCAAAGATCTTGGCATCAAAGTGCTGAAAGGAGGAAGGCTAGGAGTTCTGGGCATGCCTTCCTTTACTTTTTTTTCCGCAGCAAGGAGAGGCCCTTCTGTTAGAAAAACAGTTGGTTTAAGGTTTTTCCTCCACACACACAGACACAGAAGGATTAGCAGAGCCCCCAGTGAGTTTCACTGTAGTCCAGCTCTCAGGTTTAATTTCCCAGAGAAGTGGTGGAAGTACATAGGCCTGCTCAACTGTAGAGAAGGGTGTGGAGGACAGGGACAGACATCATGAAGCTCTAGGGTGTAGAGCAGCAGCTGAGCTGAGGAATGAAGAGTTGAAATGGTACTGGAGCTGCCTACTTGCTCTTTTGGGGCCTCTTTATACATGGCCTGTCTCCACCTATTTTAAAAGTCTGTGATTACAGACCTGCAGCACTAGCTAAAATGTTAGTCTAAGGTGTGTTTCCTTCCTAATGCACTGAGAAGCAGAAGACTGGACCTTATTGAGTCCTTCAGAGCTAAAAGCCACTTAGCTCTGGGGCAGTGAAACCAGACCTCACTCCAATGAGAAATGGGTCTCTTGTGCAAGCATCACACTTATGATGCAGTGCCTGTGAACGTGCCCAGCTCTGGGGGGTTTTGTGGAGAAGCAGAGTATCTAAACCTAGCAGCTGGACCACAGTGTTGCTGCTTATCTTGCAATGAGAAGGGGGAGTGTGGAGAAGTTAAGGAATCTCTGCAGGACATACAAGTTTTATCATTCCATGTCTGCAGTGAGTTGGGTAGCAGTGTATTGGTGCACAAGGATGTCGAGTCCACTGTCTTCTCCCTTGCCTCCAGGTATGCCTGACACTAACAGCCAAGCGCATGGCTCGTAAGAACTGCTTGGTGAAGAACCTGGAAGCTGTGGAAACCCTGGGCTCAACGTCAACCATCTGCTCTGACAAGACAGGCACTCTGACGCAGAACCGCATGACAGTTGCACACATGTGGTTTGACAATCAAATTCACGAGGCTGATACTACAGAGAACCAGAGCGGTAAGACTATAGCTTTGCCCTTGAGGCATCTCATTATAAAGGGATTATGATGGGCCTTCCACTACACCTGTGCTTTTGAGAACTCCTCTGTCTGCAGCTCTCCAGGCCAAGTCTCATTTGCAGTGCAAGGATTTGTAACACGATCTAAAACTAGTATTAAAACACTTAGTGTGCCCTGTAGAAAGTTTTTTACATTAATTGATGAAACCATCCTGATAATGCCACAAAGGCTGCTCTTGCTTCAAATTTCTCCATTGGAATTTGGGCTTGGGAGTGGTCTGCCCCTGTAATTTATCCTGTAGGTAAAAATACTTGCTGTTCCTTTCTTGAACACCTGATTATTTTTGCTAAAATGTACCAAATGGACTTGCCCATCTTAAGTCATACACGTAGCCTTGAAAGTGCAAGGAGGAGAGGTATTGACCCTGATAATAACTGCTGGGCATATGCTGAAATCTGCATGTTGAAATAGTTGGCTGCCCTTGAGAAAAGGGATTTTCCCAGAATGTGCTGGCTGCGTTCGGAGTGGTAGCAATCAATGAAACCACTGTAAGACCTAACAGGAAGTTTCATCCAGATATTGGTAAGAATGCGGTATCTCAGCACACTGTTCTGCTGAGCACGGGGTGCTTATCTCTTCAGAATAAAGCTTAGTGGGCCAAATTGAGGATTTCTCTAGCTCTGTTACCTACCTTAAGAAATATTGTGCTTGTACTATGTTATTAACGTAATGGTTTTTTTTTCCTGTTTCCTCCCTCTGCCTCAAAGCATCGTGCTTTTAGGAACCTTTTTTGAGAGCTGCTTTGTTCTTAATTGGTGCTTTGTACTAATGGTTTTAGAGGAAAGAAAGAAGCTAAAAATATGAAGTAATATATGGAAGCCCTCAGATTTGGTTTGCTAATACTCTTCTCGGCTGCAGTAGAAGTAAACCTATGGCTTTTCCTTCATGGGAAGTGTATTAATTTATCGATTATCTGTCTTCTCAATTCATGTCCCTTTGAAGGCAGCATAAGAGCCAACACGGGTGAAGTCGGGTCTCTCTGTATTTAAGCATTATTCCTTTGGGAGTTGCTTCCTTTGAAGTGATGTTACTTGTCCAGATTTACTTGCTCCTGCTTTGTGTTGTCAGCCTAGCTTCTGCTGCTCCTGGATGCAGTTGTTATCTGGAATCTTGAAAGCAGAGGTATCTTCTTTCTCTGCAGCTACTTTATCCTGAAACTCTTCAGAAGAATCAACTGGAAAGCAGCAGGGAGGGGTAAAAAGTAGTGGGCTAACAGGCTCTAAGTGAGTTTCCTTTTCCTGTAAGCTAAAGAAGACTTCTCACTATTAAGCCTGTTTTCATGACACTCTTCCCCTGCTGTCAGGTGCTTCCTTTGACAAGAGTTCAGCCACTTGGTCTGCCTTGTCCAGAGTTGCGGGTCTTTGCAACCGTGCTGTGTTTCAAGCCAACCAGGACAATGTGCCTATTCTCAAGGTGAGTTGGGAGGCACTTGCCATATTCCTTCTCCCCACTCCACGTACTAGTGAGGCTGAACACCACGTGTCAGGAGCAGCTGTGGAGTGGACAGGCGTGTGCTGCTGTTGGTCTTTCATGCAGTCCAGCACTTTAATAGCCCACGTGCTGTGGGCGGAGTAGATGGGACTGGGAGGGCATCTCCCAGAGCAAGCTCCCTACTGTCTGCTACTGCCTACAATCTGTTTGGCAGGCAGGATGTTTGATAGATGGAGGTAGTGGGATTAAATCTTTCCTAGGTAGTTTTCACTGCCTGCCCCTTCCAAGAATTAACCTTTTGGTATTTATATGCTTAAAAGCAGCAACACCCAGTTTTGGGAGCTGAGAGGATTGAATACCAGAGGTGGGGGAGCAGCAGGTTGTGGAGTTGTTTGTCTTTAGCCATTCTGTTCTCACTGGCAGATCTTAACCTTTAAATTTCCTCTGCTTCAGCACTAGTGAAAATTCTGTAGGATCAGTCCAGGTTCCAGCACCTGAACTGTGACCTAGTCAGGGCTGAAACTAAAGTACAAAGAGAAAAAAAATCATCTGCCCAGCAGAGGGGACAGAACGGTGAGGAATAATGGATTGCAGCAGAAGAAACTTGGGCAGGACATTAAAAACGTTCAGATTTCCAAGGCTGGGAATTCTCCCCCACAGTCTCTGCCAGTGTTAACCTTGCTTTGGAGAAAGCAGGTTAAAACTTTTCTACTGGATGCTTTCTAAGCTGAATTTATCTTGAGGTGGAAGAGCACTTAAAGATGTCCCTTGCCACAAAGAAGAGCAGGTGGTTAAGAAATTCCCTATCGTAGTTCTTTTCAAAATTCCCTTATAGCCTCATTTTCTGACTGTACCTAATTATCTGGCTTTCACTGCCCTTTAATAAGGGGGTTGACTTTGGCATTTGAAGACTACAGTTCTTTCAGACTGGGAGGCCTGGAGTTCTGAAGTGCAGTATTTGTTGTCAGTGCTAGATAACAGAATTATGTATCTTTTGCTGCTTCTCACTGCTACTCTTTTGTTATTTTGAAGCTGGATTTGGGCAAATGGGAATAAATATAAATATGTATGTGTGTATATATACACTCTTTCAAAATGTCTGATCTTGTGGTGTGCCCATGAGCTGTGTGCTCTAGCTCATTCCTCTTATTATTTCTCAGAGGGCTGTGGCAGGAGATGCTTCCGAGTCAGCACTTCTAAAATGCATTGAACTGTGCTGTGGTTCTGTCAAGGAGATGAGAGAAAGGTACCCCAAAGTGGTGGAAATACCATTTAACTCCACCAACAAGTACCAGGTAAGTGAGAGCCTTCTTGAAGAAGAGCCAGCACTTGAAGCTTTTTTGTGAATTCACAATGCAGTGTCGCCAAAACTTGTTTTGGCTGCAAAACCTTATCTAGCCAGCACTACCTATAAAGTCCCCAAGACTATGAATTCAAGTAACAAGTCATGCTCACTTACAGTGTGTAAGTGGTTTCAGAGCTCTCTTGACACTGAAGTATCAGAAGTATCAGCTGTAGGAGGAGGAGGACTGGTCATGTTTTTTGCCTGTGCAGTCAGGCTGCGGGGAGAACAGAAGAGCTCAAATCTGGCAATCTGCTTGCAGAAGAGTGATCTTAAAGGCAGAAGATGGATAAAGGAAAGCCCCAGCCACACCTGAAGTTAGAATATAGTGTTAAAGAATATTTAGTAAGTCCCTGACTGCAGGAGTCTTCATAGTGCTGGTGAATGTGAAAACTAGAGCAGAATGCTGCAAACTGTTCTAAGCCACTGTAGTCACACACACACACACACACATACACACTACGTGCTGATACGATTTATTCATGTACTTTGGGTGTTTGTTCATGTACTTTGCTGCACATGTGTAGAAAACTGTTGAATTTCTTCTGCCCTAGCTGTCCATCCACAAGAATGCAAATCCATCAGAATCCCGTTACTTGCTGGTGATGAAAGGAGCCCCGGAGAGAATCTTGGATCGCTGCAGCTCCATTCTCATTCATGGCAGAGAGCAACCACTGGACGAGGAAACAAAAGATGCTTTTCAGAACGCCTACCTTGAGTTGGGAGGCCTTGGAGAGAGAGTATTAGGTGAGCAAAAGCAGCCTTAGTAAATCACAAAAGATCTGTCCCTCATACTTCTGTGTAGAGCCCTGCAGATTAAATGTAGGGTTGTGACCTGTTTCCACAGTGTAACCATGGCGCAGAGTCAAGGTCACCTCAACAATTCACATAGGAATAGTCCTGCCTTCAGCTTTTAATCCAAAAGACAGCCTGCGGGGTCCTTTCTTACCCAGCAAGTGGGTTGCCTCGATCACAATGAAGCTTTTGGGCCCTTCACTTTCCATGGGCTCACGTCATATTAAATTTGCCCCACTGCATGTGAACCAAGTTGTGGCTGAGTACCTGGCAACGGCCATTAGTTATCAGAGCGAGCAGGAGAGTGACTCCGATCGCACAGCCCTGGCTAAACTCCTGATGCCTGTTACTCTTGTGTAGCTGTTTGCAGAAGCAGTGAGTGTTCAGTGCTCTCCACCTCTACCTCTCAGTGTTTTGGAATTGAGTGAAAAGGTCTTTAAATGTGTTGCAGGCTTCTGTCACCTGCTTCTCCCTGACGATCAGTTTCCAGAAGGCTTCCAGTTTGATGCAGATGAAGTAAACTTCCCTGTGGAGAAACTCTGCTTTGTTGGGCTGATGTCTATGATAGACCCTCCTCGTGCTGCTGTGCCCGATGCTGTTGGCAAATGCAGAAGTGCTGGAATCAAGGTAGCTTCTTTGGGGGCTGAAAATAGCTGTGCTTTTAAATCTGTGGGTATAAAGGGCTTCACATTTCCTGGACAATGCTGAAACATGAGCAAAGGGAAGTATTGATCCGATGCTTTTCTAAAAATCTGGGTTTTTTTTTCAGCGTTCAACAACTGCTTTGGGCTTAATGTCCCTGAGTTAAATTCCAGAGATGATATTACATCCTGAAAAATGAGTCAGCTGCCAAACTTAGGGCCCTAACAGGGCAATGATAATTTGATTTGATCAGAGCATCTGATTTGGCTCAGGTGTCCCCTACAACTGACTGAGCAGGAATGAGCAAAACACAGATTGGAACTGGAAACCTGTTGGCTAATGAATTGGATCTTCCACTCACCTTAAGCCCTTGCAAACTGGCAGCGGGTTATCTTGTCTGTACCTCAGGCTAGCTCCTGCAGCAAAAGCCACCTGGCCCTCCGTGTGTAGGGACCTAATCTCCAGAGCAGTGCAACTCTGTGGTAAAGGCAGGGCCTTCACAGCAGATTCCCGTTTGCATTTCAGGTTATCATGGTGACTGGAGACCATCCCATCACGGCCAAAGCCATCGCCAAGGGCGTCGGCATCATCTCGGAAGGCAACGAGACCGTAGAAGATATCGCTGCTCGCCTCAACATTCCCGTGAGCCAGGTCAACCCAAGGTACTGAGCTCTGAGAAAGGGGGGTCCCACTGCCAGAGTGGCACGGAAGATAACTTAGCAAGACAGTAAGAAGCAAGTGCTCAGTCTTGCAGCATCCCTCCCCAGGCATGGAAAGCTGAACGTGTGCCTAGCTCAGCACGTTGTGGCTCTTCTTACGTGTCTTATGGGCTATGAGAAGAACGTGCCAAGCTGTCTTGAAGCTGTTTGTAAATACCAGTCGCTTGCACAGGGGGAATAGTTGGGAATAAGGCCCTCTTAGAAAAGTTGAGCAGTTTCTTTGCTTTTGCTGTTGCATGGCTCTCTGACCCCACATTAGGACAAGAAAACAACACCCCCCTGCCAAGCTGAGCATTTTCCCCACTGACTTATGTCACTCTTAAGCTCTATTTGTTGGCCCGGTGTAGAGGGCAGGAAAGAGTAGCTTTTTTTTTTCTTGTTTTTTTTTTTTTTAAGGCATGGGGGAGGGAGATGGCTGCCTGGGGACAGTTGAAGCAGTGCTTTTCCAGAGTCTGAAACCACAAGCTCTTGTGAATTCGAGTCTTTAAATAGAGGCTAAGTCTCATTTGGCCCCCAAACATATATTTAGTCAAGTTTATTTACTAAGAATTGCTTATAGGTTCATGGGAAAATTCTTACACAAAGAAAATGACTAGTGTGTTGGTCAGAATGCAAACTGAATGGGCCAAAAAGGGGTCAACTCGGGTTAACTGTTTTAGGTTGTTTAGAGAAAGGAGCCAAAATACTGCTTGCAGACTTGATCACTCAAAGCAGAGTGATCTGCTGTCAAACTCTGTTCGGGGTCTGTTTGCAGGTTGACAAATAGAGCAGATCCTGGGGCTGGATCTTGAGATGTTTAATGTGAAGATGGGATTTCCTTTCCTCTTAGGGGTTAATGTGTGCCTGATAGCCTCGTGTAGAACTGAGACATCCTAAGAAAATGTGGTTTGGCATAAGCAGGGCTGTCAGCGTTGCTTAGCTTGACCCAGCCTCTGTTTGGGCTGGAGGGTAGCCATGTAGCTTATGAACTGTGGATAGAGACACCCTGTGGACTGACTTGCTTGGAGAAGACAAATATTGTGGCAGAATTCCTCTTTTTTATGGAGGGTAATTTTATAACTTACTAATGTGGGCTGAGGATCACTGAGCTCTGTGACTGAACATTTTAGCAGCTGGTTGTAAGGGTGGGGAAGGCATTTCCCTGTCTGAACTGTGTGATGTCACCAGCTGCAGGATTAATTTATTGGACCTACAAGGGATGGTATGTCGTGTTAGAGAGGTGGTATTTGGCCATCGCATGCAGGGTACCAAACTAGCCTAAATATAAATGTTGTGTGCTTTTGTTGCTCAAATGCATAAAACAGAGACTGAACTGACACAGCAAGAGCTCTCTAGGGAGAGCCGAGTGTGGATGAGCAGCTGCTTGCAAAAAGGATTGCCTGCAGAAGACCACAGCATCTCCTCTGATGCTGACAGCTTACTAATTCGAATCGGATGTTCCCTTCTTGCAGGGAGAGCAAGAGCTGTGAAACAGGCTTTGCCCTGATGCCTTTAAAACCATAGAAACAATTGGGCCACTCAGGAGCTTTTGTCTGTTGCTCAGCACTGTTGTGTTGCCTTCTTCCTTGTGCTGCTTATCTGTTTTAAACTCAGAGCATCAAACTTCTGTGCAGGGGCTGCCTGGACTAGTTTTTGGTCAAGTGCAGCCAGGAGCTAGTTCTCTCCCTTACAGTACTGGAGAGTTCATAGATGAATAGGGGTAAATGCACCTAAAATTGTGCAAGTTAACTGGTGTTCCCCTTGTCTCAATCGCAGGGATGCGAAGGCCTGTGTAATTCACGGCACAGATCTGAAAGACATGACTAGTGAGCAACTGGATGACATCTTGACCCATCATACAGAAATTGTCTTTGCCAGGACTTCTCCGCAGCAGAAGCTTATAATTGTGGAAGGCTGCCAGCGACAGGTAAGGAGGAAGAGAGCCCAAGGTTTTGCATTAGAGAAGTCCTTTGACTTGCATGTAAACTACCAACCAGTCTTGCCTTCTGAAAAGGCAGGGTTTAGCCTTCTTGGTGTCCTGAGATTAAAGGCCAGACTAGACTTTGGCCTTTGTTGGCAGCCATGGCTGTATCTTGCAGAGTTCTGGCTGCTCTCACAGAATGGTTGAGGTTGGAAGGGACATCTAGAGATCATGTAGTCCAACCCCCCTGCTCCAGCAGGGACACCTGATGCACAGGGTGGCATCCAGACGGATTTGGAAAATCCCCAAGGAGGGAGACTCTACAACCTCCCTTTACTCCAGTGTCTTATAAGAGCTAATATTATTTATGTCTGTGGTACAGAAAGGTGTGTTGCAGCAATGCTTTCTGCAACACTTCCTGCAAAAAGCTAATGCACTTAGTCTCTAAATGCTCTGGAGATGCTTAGAAAAGAAAAGGATGCAGCAGTGCCAAAAATCATTCAAAATCTATTTTGGAGAGAGCAGCATTACTCTCTTACAAGCCTGATTGTCCTTCCTGCACCCATTTCCAGCCTTCAGAGAGAAAACTGTCTCTGTACTGCAAAATGAAGTAGGTATTTGCCTTCTTTCCTGGAAGACAGAAGAAACCTGTTGTCCAAAACATCTTGCACATGTTTTTCAGTCTTTCCTACCTCTTTTTTTGTGACTAGGGTGCAATTGTAGCAGTCACGGGTGATGGTGTAAATGATTCCCCAGCCCTGAAGAAGGCAGACATTGGTGTTGCTATGGGTATTGCTGGCTCAGATGTCTCCAAGCAGGCAGCTGACATGATTCTGCTGGATGATAACTTTGCCTCCATCGTCACTGGGGTTGAAGAAGGTGAGTTTAACTTGAGAGCAACGGTGTCCAGAAATGTGTGACTGTGCTTCAGCAATTCTACTTACTGATTCCATCTGATGTAGAGATGTCAGAAGCCTTTCTTTCATTTGAGTTTGTCACCATGACAAACAATCCCAGGGACGGGAGGGGAACATCTCTCTGCTCTCTTCGGAATCTTTTGCTTTTCTATGGGACCTGCATTGTTCCATTGAACTGGTAATGATGGAACAAGTTACCTAGGAGCTAGGATGGAACAGCTACCTATGAGCAGAAGGCAGCCAAGTAGCTCATAAGCAAGAATTGTATTCACTTTTTCCTTGTTCCAGGTCGTCTGATCTTTGATAACCTGAAGAAGTCCATTGCTTACACCTTGACCAGTAACATTCCTGAAATCACACCCTTCCTGATCTTCATTATTGCAAACATACCCCTTCCCCTGGGAACGGTCACTATCCTCTGCATTGACTTGGGCACTGACATGGTGAGTCTTCCCATCCTGCAAGAAATGTTCTGGGTACCCCTTGCAAAGAAAGGTGGAAGGAAAATGCTCGAATGTTCTAGTATTCTGACTTGAAATAAGCGATTGCTTCATGGTCTCTCCAAGTCAGAGGATTCTTTGGTCCTATCTGAGGACAAGCTGGGAAGGAGAGAGGAGTCCTCTGAATCCTGCAGCTGGGGCTTTTGAACAGTTCAGACTGAAAACAAGAGCTAGGGAAGTCGGTGTGCGGTGGAGAATAGCAACTGTTCTAACAGCTGTCCTGCCACCCCCAAAGGTTCCTGCTATCTCCCTGGCGTATGAGCAAGCAGAGAGTGACATCATGAAGAGGCAGCCCAGGAACCCCAAAACAGACAAGCTGGTGAATGAAAGGCTGATCAGCATGGCCTATGGGCAGATTGGTAAGCTGCTCCCTCCACCCCGGTGCTGATACAAACTTGGTGGTGGTGAGGCTTGTGCACCATCCTTGGTCAGTGACTGCTCTGCTTATTTTTTGCTTGGGCTGAGGCTCAGGATGTGTAGAGCAGAACCTTGGGCTATGGAACTTGCCTTGGTTCTGCCCCCAACAAGTAGCATGCAACAGCTTGAGGCACTGAATCGCTTGCACAGTAATTTTGTTTAATTGCTTAGTGCTGTAAAGAGCTGGCTGACAACCAGCTCTCCTCTGGTTCCGACTTGTTTAGCAAGAACATAGATCCTATTGTTAGTTTAATTAGAAGTAAAGGATTCTCTCTTGCATATCCCTAAACACACAGTCTTAGGAGCCTTGATTAAAGGCAGCTACAAAGACGTGGCCAGTTCACAGGATGGGAACTCATGCTTAATTGCAGCAGAGCTTAGGAACCTTCTTGACTGTATTTTGCAAGGAGTGGGGGTGGGTGAGGCTTAATGAGAACACAAAGGGAGTTTTATCTGGTGTCCTTGAGTTACCATGATGTCATGGTGCAGGGCAGAACATAGGTAACTCTGTATAAAGTTGGGAGAAGGAGCTGCTGAGCAAAAGGTCTGCAGTTGGGCTTGATCTTAATGAGGACTGTTTCTACAGCTGCTTCTTGGGGGACAGAGTCCCCCGGGGAGGTACTTATGCTGTGGCTGGAGTTTCTAACAAACTGCTTGTCTCTTATGACTACGTCGTGCAGTAGCTTTATCCATTTTATTCCCCCTTTCTCATGTCATCAGGTATGATCCAGGCCCTTGGAGGTTTCTTCACCTACTTTGTAATTATGGCAGAGAATGGGTTCTGGCCGTCTGGCTTGCTAGGGATCAGAGTTCAGTGGGATGACCGATGGATTAACGACGTGGAAGACAGCTATGGGCAGCAGTGGGTAGGTCTCAAGGCAGAGCTGGCCAGCCAGAGTGCTGGCCTGTCTGTCGGGCTTAATGTGAGCACAAGAGAGGGAAGGCAGTCCGTCAGAGCTAACACTCTTCCATTTGTCTGCTCCCTAGACCTATGAGCAGAGGAAGATTGTGGAATTCACTTGCCACACAGCCTTCTTTGTCAGCATTGTGGTTGTGCAGTGGGCAGACTTGATCATTTGTAAGACCCGAAGGAACTCCGTCTTCCAGCAGGGGATGAAGTAAGTAAGGCTGTCCTTGGAGGGTTGAGATACAGGGGCCCCGTGTTTTCTACGACACGTGGCATTGCAGTTCTTCACCCCTGCCTTGCTAGTGGATAAAAGACTAGGTGTCTCTTTCATAGTATTTACTGCAGTCTGTCAGGCTGGGACAAAGCCAAGGGCTGATCTCCTGGGGGGTCTTTGGGCCTGGCCCACCTCAAATGCCTGTGGCTGGGAGATAGATACTCCAGCACAGCAGCTTTGTGCAGCAAGCAGAGAGCTGAGGTCTCCAGAGATCTGGTGGCATTAATCCCAGCCTTCTAAACTTGTGATGCAGGAGGTGGCTACCTGACCTGGTGGTTAACTGCCTTATCTGCCTCTCTAGAGACACTTTGACACTGTGCCCCCAGTTTGGGCTGATAGCCTCAGCCAGGTGTGCTGCTGGGCTGGGTGGGAATGTCTGCCTCCAGTCACTGCTGTGGGGTGGCTAGGTCATTTGTAGGAGAAATCGTCCATGAAAGTGCTCTGTCCCTGACTGCTTTCCTCTTTCTCCTCCTAGGAACAAGATTTTAATATTTGGTCTCTTTGAGGAGACTGCTCTAGCTGCCTTCCTCTCCTACTGTCCTGGGATGGATGTTGCTCTAAGGATGTATCCCCTCAAGTAAGTTGTGGTTTTGTATTTTTGTGTAGCAGAACCATATGGTAGTGCTTGGGTGGGCAGGCAGGTAAAGGTAGATAACCTAGGTTTAAACCAGAAGATCTCAAGCTAGAGGAAGTGACTGAGCTTGCTGTATTCTGGCATGTCAGGGATCTGCTTTGCTGCTTGTAAATGCTTGCAAAGAGTTCAGTGTTCCCACTAAACCTGAGCAGCATCACCTCAGCTGTGCTTTGCAGCTGCCGTTGTGCTTGTGGGGGGGGGTTTGGGTCATTTTTATGAGACTATAATGAAAACAGTTGAAATGGTCTAAAATATAGACAGTTTGTCTGGAGAACTGGTGAAAATATCTTGTGGCTCTTTCTGCTCCCCAAAGAACTAGCATGGGCTGTGGAGTGTTTTGGGAAGATGCTGCATCTCCTCGAATGACCAGGGATGCATGGGAACTTGCCCAGCAGCTGGGAGCACTGAGCATCACCAACAGTGGTGCAGCGTTTCATGGCAAGATGTTTCACCTGGAGCAAATTTTTAATGGCTTAAGCTCCACAAAATTCTCATGGCCAAACGTGCTAGCACATGTGTGCTTGCATTCAGAAGGGAGTGAGTGTTCTCCAGCAAGAACCCTGGCGGCCGCCCAGTGCCTACAGCGCCTATATGTTAGCATGCCTAAGTCACGGGAGGAAGCGAGCGCGACTCAAAGGAGCAGTGCTGTGGGCACAGGGATTTCGTGTGCTTAGAGGAAATGTTGCTAGATTAACAGCAGGGAGGTGCAGGCGCTGAGCTGGTCAAAGGTGCTACAACGTACCTGTTGCTGGGATTATAATCTGAGAGCGGATGAACTGATGACAAAGAAAACTTGTGGTAATTGCTGGTTCATGAGATTCTCGGCAGAGCCACAGGCTTAGGGGAGTTGGCCCCCGGCAAGCTGGGACTAGCTTGGCTTCCAAAAGCTGCATGCTCTGCCATGGACCAAGCTCTGTTAGGCAGAGTGGTTCTGTAAGGCTGTGTCTCTGTTCTCACTGAGTGCTCTCTCTCAAACAGGCCGACCTGGTGGTTTTGTGCCTTCCCCTACTCCCTCCTCATATTCCTGTACGACGAAATCAGAAAGCTGATCATCAGACGCAACCCTGGCGGTAAGAACACGCTTAAAGGCTGCCCCTTTCCTTCCCTGGTCCTTCCTGTGGTCGTCGTCTCTAGAGACGCTGACCAAGCCTAAGGCCTCACAGTGCTGCACGCTGCAGCAATATAGGATGTCTCTTTGCCTTGTCCTTGTTCAGCCCTTGAGCGGGATTTTAGAGAGCAGCTGTAGGGTTAAGTGCTGTTGCTTTAGGAATCCTGCTGGCTTTGCTGGAGTGAGTATAATTAAAAGCAGGCGGGATTAAACTTGGAAAAGGAGCAGTGCTGCTAACTGTGCTGTCTGTCATGTCTGCTCTTCATCTGACATGTGAAACAGATGTTGGAAAATGTTCAGCATGCTTAGTCTTGTGCTGGATTTTTGTGTGTGTGTGCGCTTTTTCCTTGCCCAGTTGAGCTGGTTGGGAATGCAGTGAGCTGCAGGACAGTCCTCTTCCCTCCGCAGAGACTTGCTAGTGTGGCCCCAGCATTGGAGGTGGTTCAAATTCACGACATCCTCTGTCACCTTCGTGCCTTCTCCCGCAGCATGGGAAAGTACCAGTATGCCAAACTAGGTAGAAAAGATGGATTAGTGCTTGGGTAGTTCAAGAAAGCCAGAACAGGGCCTGAAAGCTGTGGAGCATCAACAGTTAGGCAAGATTTTCCATTGCGCAACCGGACGCTTAACTTGGCACTTAACATACATGCTAGTGTCAGAGCCTAAAAGGAGCACTCGTGACCTTCACACCCGGGCAGTCGTGTAAGACTAATCTTGCTCTTTTTGCTTCTCCTTCAGGTTGGGTGGAAAAAGAGACTTACTACTAAAAAGCAATTGTAAAACATTCCACGCACAGCCCACCGCCACCTCTCCACCGTCTCCCCTGTGTGCCTACTTCATCTTTGCGAGCGCAGACTTGTGCCTGGGCAGGAAGGAGCTGAGCCTTGAAGGAAACATGAAGACGCATGGACTGGAGGAGAAAGCAAGGGGGAGGGGGGAGGGAGTGTCTGACCATCAGTCCATGGGGACGAGAGCTTTGAGTAGTTTTTATGTGCCTTTTTGTTTTTGTAAAAGGAAAGAAGCCGAAGATTTTATATGTGGATTTTTACAAATAAAGATGGATTGTAAGAGGATGCCCCTACACAGTCCTAGGCAGCTGTTTTCTCAAGGCAAAACTCTGTTCAGGACAGTGGGGAAGCCAAGTAGAAGGCCCAACTGTCATCCAGGCATGAGAATGGCCACACAGGTTAGAACTTGGCTTCCCAGCTCCAGCAGAGAGAGGCAGAGCTGCTTGACTTAGACAGCAGCACATGCATTTCTGAAAGGGCTTTGTGCATCCTGCTTTGCAGGACAAACAACGTATGTTGCAGAGCCCGAAGTCCAGGAAGCCTCGAGCCTCTATAACCCTGTTTCTTGACTGCCTTCTGCAAAGTCTTCTTTGCAGAGATGAGAGCTTGTGGCTGCTCTAAGAGGCCGCAGCCCCCTTGCTGGCACCATCCCTTGGATCCAAACCTCGTCCTTCAAGTCCTGAAATTATAACATTTGTGGCTGTTTAGGAAACACTAGCCTCTGCTTAGCAAATGTCCTTGCGTGCACCCCTCTTTCAGAGCCTGTTCAGCAGAGTGTTGCCTCTGTCCTGCTGCCCTTGCCTCACAGCTGGACAGCAGCTTGCAGGACAGCACAGGCTCTCTCTCCCACTCTCCACAGTTTCCCTCCTCTTGCTTTCCTTTGCTTTGTTCTTGGAGTTGTCTGATCTCAGCTCTGTACCATACCCTGCCAGGGCAGACAGAATAAAGAAGGGGCAGGGACAGCGGGGCAGGGGGCTGACATCTCTCAAGCTTGTCGCTCACCCAGCAGCGAGGCTCAGGGCTGCAGTGAGGCCTCTCCCCTTGGCCATGGCCCGGGCTTTGGTGAGCGTGGTGCCAGGGCCCTGGGGCTGAACGCAAAGGATTTAGTCTGGGTTTTTGTTTTAAAGTGCTCACTTGTATGCTTGACTGAGGAAAGCTTTAAGTAAAACTTAACTTTATTGCAAGAGCACCCAGCACCTCAGAGGGCTTGTGCTGTTAAAACTGAAGGTACTCCAGGCCCTCGGTCCTCTTCTTGAACTGCCTGTCTTTGCTCTTCTTTGATATGCTCCTACCTCTGTAGAGCATCACTTCAAACCTGAATGCTGAAAGGATCTGCAGCTAAAACTGTTGTCATCCCTCTCTTTTTTTTTTTTTTTTTTTTAGAAGACCATATACGAGATCAACTAGTGACTGGTTTTCAGACGTGTGCTGAAACAATATTTAGTTAGCTACTTTTTTGATTGCTTTCCTCGCATTTAAAGCTGAGGATACTTTTATTTCAGTTTTATTTTTTTTTTTTTTTTTTTTTAAGAATTATTTTAAAGCCAGGTAATTTTACAGACCTTTCCCCGCTCTCCTGTACAATGCTGACTTGCGAACAGCTCTAGCAGTCCAACCCGGAGGCAGGGAGGGGTGTAGTGAGAGGTTGAGGGTGGGACCTCTGTAAACTGTCTCGGACACTCTGTAATGCGGAACCCCTAGCTGGAGGAATTAAAAAAAATAAAGTGCTCCACTTGTCTGAGTCTACCCATGTTAAAAGATGTTTTAATGCAACTGGGGTTGAGATCATCCCGCCTGGGAGGGGAAGATGAGTTGTGCTAGAAGGGGGAAGGAAAGAGATGGGATGAACTTCACTGGGTTAGAGAACCACGCAGAAGAAGTTACACTTGCTGTACCCAGAAGTGACGCTCGCTTGAACTTTCTGAGGGCCTGAGAAGACTTCCTGCTGCAATTAACTTGTGAAATCAACGTGCTGTGGAAAAATCCAGGAGTCTGTTCTTCTTTACCCTGATATTGGCTTTAACCAGCCTTAACTGCAGGCCTTTCTGTAGAATCACATGAAGATTTAGGTGAGAAGGGACCTGTGAAGGTCTCTAGCCCAACTTACCTGCCCAAAGCTGAGCAGTTCTTTATTTGACCAGGTTGTTGATGACCTTGTTGGAATGAGGCTTGGAACATTTTGAAGGCGGTTGGAGGTACCATAGGTCTGTGACCCCAGTGTGAGCACTGAACCTGTGTGCTGAGCTTCAGTGACGGACTGTGCTTGTGCTGGGGTAGCCAAGGCCCCCTTGCAGCAACAGCTGAGCAGAGCCAGGCCCAAGCTATTCCCAGCAGGAATGTTTCCCAGCTCTGCTGTCCACCTCGGAGTAGCATCTCACCTGGACGCCAGCCAGCTCAGGAGTCTCCCTTGTATTTTGTGCTATTGATTTTTCAGTGCGGTTAGTCGGTGATATAAAAGTACTGTGAGACTACATCTAGAATAACCAAATGACTAACGTCAGAGGAAAGCTTTATCCACCTGTGGACTGTCGGGTATTTATCATACACGGCCAGGAAAAGACACTGAGGATGCTGTAGCTGTGACAAATGAGGCTCTGGCAGTTGGGAAAGGGAGGGAGGCAACACAAGGTATTTTTTATTGGCTCTACATGTTTATCAATATTTACCAGCTGAGCGACACATGATAATTAAGAGGCCAAAAAAAGGAGTTTGGGCGAATAAAAGTTACAGATTTCCATAACGAGGTGTTCCACCTGCCTTTGTAGAGTGAGCTTGGGACTTGCTTGGGCCCAGGCAGCCACTGCCAAGTAAAGCTGAAGCTAGCCCAGGCCCTTGGTCCTGACAGAGGTTGCTGCCTTTGCTTGAATCGCTCCACGCTGAGCAGAGCTGCAGCTGAAACCGGCCAGGGTCTGGCGAAAGATAGGAGAGCACGTGCCTCTTCCTCATCGTTTTCTTTTCCAAGGGGAGCTTCATGCACTTGCAAGGTGCAGGCCGCAATGCAGAGTCCACATGAAATAAAGAGGGTGAGGGTGATGTCTTGCTACAGTTATAGCTGGAAACGTGGATGAAGAATTTCTAGACCTTTGGCATTTTGGTGTGAAGCCGGAACATCATTGCTCTTGAGGAACAGCGTGCTGGCTTTGCTCCCATGCCCAACCACTGCTTCCCTGCAGCCAGCCCACAGAGGCAGCGAGGTTCAGGTCAGCCCTTGCGGGGGCTCTTGTTTCATCACCTTGAGGCTGCTCTGGAGAGGACGGGGCTAGGCAGAGCTGCAAGCACGTGCCAGCAGCACAGAGACGAGGCTTTGACTCTGTGGTCCCTTATGGAGGGACTCGGCACCATCCTCGGAGGTGTCCTCGCAGCCCACCTGCTTCTTGCCCCCCTCCAAGGGGGCGAGATGGTCACCCGGCTCGGAGGAAGCAAGAGGACCAAGGTGGGCTGGCACAAGGACAACCGCGAAGAACAGGAAGGTTGTGTCCACCGTGATTAGACAACACAAGACCTTCAGTGTCCGTCGGCAGCCGGCTCGGCGTGGCTGCGCTGCCAAGGTTGTTTGGCCTGTGGTTTCATCGCCTTGCTGGGGGAGCTCATACGGGCGGCCTTGGGAGCCAGCTGAAGCTTTGTGCTGGCCCTTGCCATACACTTTCCTGGCTCCGGGTAAGGCTCTGGGGCTTCCTTTAGTGTCCCGCTCCCAGGAACCGGGAGCCCAGTGTGTTGTTGCTTCAGAGAGGCCTGCTGGATGAGTGCTGGGGTGTTCTGCTAAAGGCAAGAGGTCTTTCCTAGCGGGCAGTTTGGAAACCTCTCTTGCGTAAGACCTTCCCAAGCCTTGCAAGCAAAGAGGTGTTAGAGCAAACACCTGCTTGGCAGGCCTTGGGGTCACTGGGTCCTTACTGTCTGCCCTCCGCATTTCCCACGGAGCCGTGATCTTCCTTGGTGACATCCTCGGGGAAAAGCCCTTACAGCTCAGGTCTGAAGGGAGAGGTGGCATTCGTGGTGGCTGCTCTTTACAGCAATGAGCTTTTGTCACATGGCTGAGCTCATCCTCCTGACGGTTTTTTTCCACTCCCAGACAGCAGGATGCCCTCCTGGTGGTAACAATTTCACCCTCAGTTTAAAGCAACAGGGAAGACTTGCATGAGGTGTCCGTGATTCACTCCCTCTCAGCCAGAGCAGGGAACTGAAATAGCCATAGTCACAGAGGAGATGGACACAGAAAGGCTTCCAGATCACGAAGGAAAAGTTCAGAGAGGACAGAGTGACAGCAGCTGTGTACGCCTGGCCTGCACTTCTGCTTTGCAGAGGGTCGACTCCGAAGCAGAAGGATAAAGGTTGGATGAGAGGCCAGCCAGGACCAGCCCAGCAGGCTGGTGATGCCCACCAGGACGTGGGAGTCTCAGCAGATCCCTACAGAGCAGTTTCCTCAGGCTCTAGATGGGTCTGGGATCTCTTTGTTCTCTTCCAGTCTTCAGGAGACCCATCAATTAGAAAGGATAAAGGAGTCAATCCATCCAAGGGACCTGCTGCCCAAGCATCATTCCTCAAAGGATAAAGTACTTTTCTCCCAGAACTGACGGGAGGAGGTAGCACATTCCTAAGCCTCCACAGCCGTTCTCTCCTCTGACTCCAGAACCTGCAAAGGGAAGGAGGGAAAGCAACCAATCTGCGAGGCCTCTGAACCAGCAGATTAACCCAAACATGAAGCAGATTAACTCCATGTAGGTGGCAATGTGTAAGCAAAGACCCTCCGAAGAGCCAAGGGATCAGCTGGGGGCCTTTTGAGAGGCAGAGAGCCTAGGTGGAAGAGCAAGGAGTCTGACTTGAGACCTGTTTTTTACTCTCCTCTGCTTATGCTCTGCAGCCCTCCTGTCTGCCCCGAGCTCCATACTGTCCTGGGCTTTAGCAATGAAAAATTTGGTGGAGGGCCCATTTTCGTAGGAAGATTTGTTTCCTCCGTGTCCTCCTCACACTCAGCCTTCCCCCCAGTGAGATCATCTGCCCCTCCACCCCCTTCCTCTGCTTGCCCCAAACAGAGCAGCATCTTCACCCAGGTGAACTTTTGAACCCTCTGGCTCTTCAGGAGGGAGGAAAGCAAATACAGCGAGTTTGCCCAGCTCTAACAACAACATTGGCAAAGGGATCTTGCATTTCCATGGCTCCTTTCACTCTAAAAGGTCCCAGATTTCCTTCACGGTAGACCTAAAATGTCCCTCCACCTCCGGCAGGCTTGTGCTGCTGCTAGGCAAGGAGCCAGGGCAAACAACGGAGACGGGATCAGGAGCCGGATACAGAATAGCTGCTCCCAAGCAAAATGCCAGGCCACCTTGCCCACTGCAGCGGGAAGAGCCGTGCTTCCTTGGCACCCCTGTGCCATGGAAAGTTTGGAAAGGCCACAAAAGAAAGACAGAGACTTTTTTTTATCAGTATTTATTTTTAAAGGTGCTTGATAGTACGTGACCAGTATGGGCTTGCACACTTAGCTGCCTGAAATCTGGGCTAAAAATAGCCATTGACTCTAATAGTCTGGGGCAGCCTTAGGTGAATGAGTCCCAAGGTGAATTATGAAATCTAATATACGTTCTCTCCATAACGAGTTTGTTTTCTATTTAGGGTTATTTACCTTGGTCTTCACCTGCTGGAAATAGAATACTGCTCTCAGATTTCACAAGAGATCCGAGCTAGATTAGGAGACAGCCACATAGTAGACAAGTGCTGTTATTGAGGAGGCGGTGCCATATGACTTCTTCTGAGCTATACCATTAGTCGAAGGAGTTTCTCCCCATGGTTGCACAGGACCATTGGCTTAGCTAGTGCCACTTGGTGCATATGGGCTCCAGATACACCCGTGATACACTTTATATGTTTAATATCAGTCTGTCCAGCCACAGATATATTTGGCAATATATATAAGGTGATGAGGATCTGATCCTCCTGATCCAGCTAGTGCACTTCTGCATCGCTTAGCAGCATAAACCCGATCTGGATCAGGCATGGAAATATATCGGTCAAATTAGCCAGAACACTGTATAGCATTCATGTCAGCCCCGGGGTGTCTTTGGGAGGGCAGGCAGTGCTTGATCCCAAGGAGAAGCCTAAGCATAAATCTTGGCAATTCCGAATTGTTGTGTCAAAAATTCGTAAGTGATTTTGAGCCAACAGAGCAAGTTTCTACTCATCGGCCCTTTGCACTGCATGGCCGGGTTGTGTTAGATCTGATGTCAGGAGCCCGGCAGTTGGAGTTGCCACCTTGGCAAGCTATAGCCTGGATCAGATAGGAAGACTCTCCCTTCAGCTCGTGCTTTCCCTGCGCCTGAAGCTGGTCCCATGGGCAGAGCCAGGGCATACAGGGGTGAGGGAAGAGGCTTGACAGC